GGCTGAGAAAGGTGAGACTTCTCCCTGGAAGATTAGCAGCAAAGCCACCCAGAATGTATTGGAATTAGCCATAATGGCATCAAACCACCCAAGGTAGGACCCAAAAATCCTCAAGGAATATTGGGACCTTTTAGTGAGAAAGGTCCAACATCACAGTGGCTGACCAACTGCACTGAGATCCTCCCTAGAACTAAACTGCCAAAACCCAACCTCCTAGAGAGCTGAAAGAGCTCCGTGCATTCATAGATAAAAAAAACTTGCAACATGATTTCATCCAGCTGGCCAGACCCCAGGTAGCCACCCCAGTCCTAATCTGGGAAAAGAAAGATGACTCTCTCCACTTGTGCGTTTACTACCGTGGGCTCAACCTGGTCTATGTGAAGAACATATACCCCCTACCACTCATGAAGGACATGCTAGCTCACTTAACCAAGGGGGAGATTTTTACTAAACTGGATTTATGCAAAGTATATTACAGAGTCAGGATTAAGGAGGGGGATGAGTGGAAAATGGCTTTCAACTTCTCCCTGGGGTATTTCCAATGCCAGGTATTACTATGTGGATTGCAAGGAGCCCCGCCATATTCATGCAGCTAATAAATGAAGCCCTGCATGAACACATATACAAATGGGTGTTGGTGTATTTAGACAACATTCTGATATACTCCGAAATGAAGGATGAGCATGTTAGGCTCTTACTAACTGTGTTAAATTGTGAGAAGCTGAAACTTTCAAAGTGTGAGTTCCATAAAGACAAAATTGAATAATTGGGATACTGAATCTCACAGGAGGGGGTGGAAATGGACTCAGAAAACATCAGGGCAGTCCTGGAATGGCCCCCCTAGCACAAGGTAGCAACTCTAAATTTCTACCGACAATTTATTTTCCTGCTTTTGCCCAAATCGCCCTGCCCTTTTCAAACCTTCTGAAAATGAAGAAGAGGGAAAACCCAAGCCCAGCCAACCCTTAAAAATGGAGTATGGAATGTCAAGAGGCATTTGAAAAGCTCAAGTGTCTGTTTGCAATGGAACCTGTGCTGAAACACTCAAATCCAGATTCCCCCTTTTTAGTCCAGGCAGATGCTAGAGATATGGCTGTTGGGGCTCTGCTGCTACAAGAAAACCCTAAGCCTACACCTCCAAAAAGTCAACTGACACAGAACAGAGGTGGGCAGTCTGGTAGGAGGCCTATGCAGTTTGATGGGCATTGTTAAGCTGGTGACCCTTCCTGGAAGGGTCTAAACACCTATTTGAAGGGTGGACAGATCACAAGAAGCTTTAAAAACTCCATGGAAGCTAACCTCCAAGCAAGCCCTTTGGGTACAGTATTTCAATCATTTCAATTTCATTCTGTACTACATCCCAGGGGGAAAAGGCTTCCTAGTAGATGTCCTATCTGATGCCACAATATAACAGTGCTTGAAATCATTTGACCAGTCATCCTCTCTTAACCAATTAGCAGCAGAGGGTAACAATGAGACACCAGGAAAAAGTTAAATCACATATTTTCTGCGAAGTGCTAGGTAAAGTGAAAGCTGCCTTAAAGATTATGAATGGCTAGTGGCCCTAAAGAACACTTTCATGGAGAGACTAGCTTGGCCAGGGGCAAAATTGTATGTCCTGGACTATCCCCCTACGGGAATTGGATTTACAAACTTGCCACAACTCAAAAGCCGCTAGGCATTTTGGTTTTGTAAACACCCTACACCTGGTTAAATGACAATTCTGGTGGCTATCTCTCAAAAAGGACATTGAAAGCTATGTAGCCAGCTGACTAGTGTGTGCATCAGCAAAAAGACAACCAGGGAAATCCATAGGACTACTGCAAACCAGTGGCAAATCCTCATGTCCCTTGGAAAGAGATCTGTTTGGACTTTATAGTAGAACTGCCAGAAAGTGCAGGGAACACCATAATTTGGGTGATTACTGACTTGTTCTCAAAACAAGTCCACTTTATCCCTTGCTCAAAGATCCCATCACCTCATACTTTGGATGAGCTATTTGTGCAACATATTTCCAGACAACATTTTGAGGTGAAAGAAATTTTGTGAAAATAGAAGGGCAGGATCCAGTATTGATTGCATGGAAACATTTCCCTGCTTCCCAATCCAAATGAGTTGACAGAAACCACATTCAAGCTGACAAACTCCTTCATGCTTTCCACAAGAAATATTCCAACAAATCTAGAATGTCAGAACTCAACTGAATACTTAAAATTCTCTTTTCTTTTCTCTTTTAGCGCTAATGCCTTTGCAAAGGAGGCCCGAATGTCAGCTGCTTATCTTCATATTCTTTGAAGCTTGCTAGCAACTGCCATAACCAGTGGGAGTGGGCATCTGGGAAGGTAAGCACACTGGAGGTGTGAAAGAATGCTATGGGAAATTGGCGAGTATAGACAACTAACAGGAACCAGAGGTGCTAAACTGAGCCATCAGCCAAGCTTCAAGACTGCAAGGAAAGGAATTCAAGACTGGGAAAGGGATTTACACTGGCGCTTGAGGCACCAAGTTTCCAAAACATTGGAATGAGGCTTGATTCGACTGCTCACCCAGGGGGGACCATTTGGGACATGGGAATTGCTTTCAATATATGATTTTCACATGGTCTTTCCTCAGAGCTTTCCTCATCTATGCACACTCGGCATCTTTAGTAAAAGTACCTTTTCTCTAAAGCCTTTGTAGTCAAGAGTCCTTTTTTCCTAGGGAGTAGCTGGGGCCAGCCCCCAACTATCAGCCCCCAACTATCAGGGTCCTCATTTTACCAACCTCAGAAGGTTGAAAGCCTGTCAACCTTGAGCTAGTCAGGATCGAACTCCTGGCAGTCAGCAAAGTTAGTGGGCAATATACTGCATTCCAAACCATCGCTCTGCCAAAAATGTAATTTATAATGTAAATTTTGAACTTATATTGCTTATTCTGAATCTAAATGACAAAATTGAAGTATTTTGTACATTTCAATTACTAACATACTCATTTTGGTTTAAATATCCAGACTGAAGTTGCACAGAAAGTTTTACTAATGCAAATAGAAAATGAAATCTGCTTCCTAATACAATTTAAAACAGTGAATTTCTTCCTGTTTAAACACATACCCCAAATGTAATTTTCCTCCTTCCCCACAATATGTGTAAATAGTGTGAATAACCATTGCCAATCTGATAGAATTCAGATGTTTTGAAGTTTTGTCTTCCTGCCATGCATCTGGACAAGAATAATAAGGGGAGGTTCTATATTTTTTTCAAAAGCTAGAACACAAATTCTGCATTAAGATACATACTGGAAGGTAGTAAGTATGAAATTTAGATATTTTAACAATTGTCAAATACAAGGAACTCAAAAGATCTTTGTATTTTTGTTTCTTCATGTTTGTAGCTTGATATGTAGAATACAAATTGTGGGATTTGCAATTTTACTGTAATGTTTAACCTACTTTAAAATTTACATTTTAATAAAACAGCAGCTTCGACAATAAATGTATATTAAATCAGGATAGAGCTACATGAAGTACAGTTTTTTGATGATGTTCATTTACCAAAGCTTTTTTATTCATTTAGTGAATATATGCAAGTTCAATCCACACATATAAATGAGAAATGAGAAAGTTCCATAAATCCATTATTCATGGTTGCAATTCAGAATATATTTTATCAAGCTGCACTTTTCTTCTTTAGAAATAATATGAAACAAAAAGATAACTGTTTTTGATAATTTTTCAACATATATCAAACAAAAAAAGCCATGGATTGCTGATAAGTTATAGGCTAATAGTTAAACATAAGAAAGTATATAACTAAAATATCTAACATAATTTCCATATCTATTTGTATATTGAAAACTATCATACTCTTTTGGTATATCAGAACCATGTTGATTATTGCAGTGAACTTCTCTCTTAATACCTTTCAAAATGTAATATTTATCAGTTCAATCTCCCATATTTCCATTCTGTTCCATGTGTTGTACAGACTAATTTGTTAAATGTATAAAAACTATATTTGGATGTCAAGGAAAAAAGAGTTTAAAAACAGTTACTAAAAATGGTTGCATTGTGGCTTGGATATACAGCCCCACATAAAGCTAGATTTTGTCTCCAAGCACACACTCAAATTCATACACTTTCTTATGGAAGAGCCATTGCTTTGTATTAATAGGTAAGGATGGTAAATAACTTTTGGAAAGTTGGATAAATTTATTATTTTTCTGATATTATTATTATATTATTTTCTGCAATTGAAGAAGTAGAAAACTGCATTTTTAATTAAATACAATAGACATTCTCTGGTGTTCTTCTATAAAGGTAAGTCTCCTCTATCAATTCTGAAAAAAATCCTGTCAATTATTAGAATTATTGTTATTCCCAGTCACTAAAATTGGGTGACAATCAGCTAAATACACTTTGTTTCATGTGTCCAGAAAGTGATATATTGATGAATCTTAAAACCGATACCATGTTGTCATAAGCAGCTTTATACCAAATCTTTTTCCCAGGCATTAATAACCATGGGTTTTTCAGTTGGGTAATCTTTTGGCAAAATATTGAACATGCTTTTACACAGGAAGTAGGTTTCATGTATACATCAGTGAATAAATTTTTCAACAAACCATATAACATAGAATATGTGCCAATGTTAATGGGGTTACACCCTGGGAAACTATCTTGATGTTTCCTGGAGCCTATTTCAACATATTTCTTCCAAGAACCAAGTAATAAATGAGCATCCCAAAAATCATATGTCTGAGACATGTAATATGAAGATTATCTATGGCAAATATTTTATTTATCATATTCATGTCCAACTTCAAATTCGATTATACTTTTTTTAACTATAAAAATTAGTTTAAGCTGATTCTAAGATGGTTTATAAAATATTTCATACTGTAAAATCTATTTGTGACATAAAATAAATATACATTTCCACAAAGAATAAATACATTTAAAAAAAACCTGAGTGTTAATATGTTTTTTTTTCTCTAGGGAAAAAACAATTATTTTTGTGTGTGTGTAGGAATACTGAAGCTTATTATTCAAAATACTTTTTAACAAAAATTTGTGGCCAGAATTGCAATTTAATGTCAGTTATCCTGGAAAATATATAACCTTTTGTGCTCTACCTGACATCATGCTCATATATGGGAACACAGTAAGAAAACAATTCATCATAAAAAAGGACATAATTTGCAGGTTATTTCATTCTATTACAAGTAAACAGAATAACTCAGACTAAACAATAGCACTAAAAGTTAACTGAAGTACCCTTTACTTCTACAATATCTATGAATTTTGCAAAAATGGCAAAAGCAAGAACATTCTTCACAAAAGTATGCAGCTTTAGAAAATAACCTAATTTGTGAACCCAAATAGAAATTTAAGATATAAGAAATAGGGCATGTACAATGAAAACATTTGGCATTCTTGATTATACTGTAGGCATACATATGCTTGCTGTTTTTAATATCTTTTATGAAGATGATATGGCTTCTTTCTGCTCCCAATTTTTGTAAAGATGGTATTTCTGTTCTCATCAAATCATGAGGAAAATGTATTTTTATGAATGGGATATAGTAGGCAGGACAAGGCAAAAAATATGCCATAGTAAGGACTGTATTTATGACAAGAGAAACATGTTCCCAGGAAAAATAGCCCATAGCTGAATGGACTTTTCAAATACCTTTACCAACATAACTCAAATGTTCAGTTTGCTATAATTTTCCCTGGGTTCTACCCTTAACAAAGTTCAATTAATTTAAAATTTATTTTAACAAAAAATGAACAGCTTATTCAAACTCCTTTCAATCAGTTCAGTAAGAATCTTTTCTTTAAGTTTTGGGCCTCTCTGCTGGGAACAGCCTAATTAAACATGATGGATTCGGGATCTTGATTTGCCATTTGAGCCATATGCCTTAACACGTCCTTTTTAGTGATAATGCCCAGGAGCCTCCTAGAGAAGAAGGGAAGAAACAAAATTGTGATTAATCATTAACCTGTCTTGTTCATTTTTCAAAGTCTGCTGCAGGCAAAATTTAAACACAAAACGATCGGTTTCAGAAGGACACCCTGCTCCTTCCTTCTCTAAAAACCAAGAAATGGGTTGTTGTTTTTTTAAAAAAGAATGATTTACATTTACAAACTGAAAAAAATCATCACAATGCATTGCTTTTATGAATACAGAACTTTCATTATATTTTTCTCAGCCTTTGGCAAAAGGATAAAAATTCCATGTTCTATCCAGCTGCATTCCTCAATGCAATTAGTTAAGGCTGTTTCTTGAGCAGGCTCAAACTTGTCCAACTTGACATCTCTCAGAAAACATTTGCAGAAACTGTTGGGATCCTCCAGGCCCAAAGCAGAAGAAACTCAGTGCAGGGCATAAAGAGAGTGATACATCAAAGTATTGTTAAAACCTTAAAGGCAGAGACTCCTGAACTGTGACCTGAATGCCAATGTATCACATTTAAAGAAAGCTTCCTGCAAAATCGTTCAATTATATGTCCTCCCCCTTCTCCTGCGGGCATGCTACTATGCAAAAGGTTGGAAGCTCTCTATTCATCTATTCATTCCATCTATCGTGAGTTTTTATTAATTATATTAGAGGAGGATTGCTATAGCTGTTAAGAAAACTGAAAAACAATGGTAAAAAGATAGAAATGAAATTAATAGTCAAGCTAATGTTAACTGTATTAATACAGACTTATTAACTTACCCTTATAAGAAAACCTTTTGAAAAATCAATGTTAATTTTTTTTAGTCCAATGCCTCAAATAATTGACATTACTGTTTTAAATATTTTATTTTAAACACTGTACACACTTAAATAATTAGGTGTGAAAGGCAATTTTTCATTCCTTTTAATTTCTCAATGGATTGGAAAAACAGAAAAAGAGGATAGATATTCTATTATCACTGCCCCAAAGAAATATAAGAGCACCGCGATGTCTGGATAACTTTTCTATTTTAAAAACATCACACTATATCCTTTACATAGTACTAAATACTGCAAAATAGGGGAATCATTTCAAAGAAATATTTCTATTTCCAATTATTTTAGTGCAGTTATGAAACGTTGGGGTTCCATTAAAAATCTGTCTAGTGAAGCGTATTTCCTTTCTGTGGAGTCTGGTCATTTATTTTTATTGAATATATGCAATTATAGTTTGTTAGACAATATCTTGAAGTAAAAAGTTGCAGAAAGTAAAGAATACTTTAAATAGTGTGTTTTAAAATATTTATTATAGGGCACTTTCTACCTTGAACTTTAGCCATAATCTGATATTACTTTCACAAAACTAGATTTTGTGGAGTTTTTATCTTAAAAACCAGGATTCTGTACATCCTATGTCTAAAAAAATAAGTTAGATATAGTAATTATTGATCTTAAACCATAGTCTCTTTTTACCAATATTTTACCTGCTTTAAAAAAAGCCTGCCTATTATGCAAAGAGTTTGTCAAAATGACATAATTAGTAAACTCATGTACTTTCCTGATTTTACCAGAACTGAATCCCATTGAGAGTAACATTGGGGAAAAACAACAAAGTTTGTTTGGCTAAACTTTTGTTGGCTCCAAATGGCTCAATTTTTCCCCTCAAGTTTGTTGTGCAAATAAATGCTGGTAGTCCTCAACTTACGACCACAATTGAGCCCAAAATTGCTAAGTGAATCACATTTGTTAAGCGAATTACTGCAGTTATTAAATTAATAACACAGTTGTTAAATTAATCTAGTTTCCCCATTGACTTTGCTTGTCAGAAGCGTGCAAAAAATGATCACATGACCCTGGGACCAGAGGTGGTATTCAGCAGGTTCTGACCAGTTCTGGAGAACCGGTAGCAGAAATTTTGAGCAGTTCGGAAAACTGGCAAATACCCCCTCTGACTGGCCCCGCCTCCATCTATTCTCTGCCTCCTGAGTCCCAGCTGATGGGCTGGGTCTTCTTTTGTTGTCCTGCACAGGAAAACAGAGCTGGAAAGCAGGTTAGTGGGGTGGGGAGGGAATGGAGATTTTACAGTATTCTTCCCCTGCCACGCCCACTAAGCCACTCCCACAGAACCGGTACTAAATTTTCTGAATCCCACCACTACCCAGGATGCTGCAACCATCATAAATATGAACCAGTTACCAAGCATCTGAATGTAAATCACATGACCATGGGGATGCTACAACACTCTCAGGGAGGCCCAAAAGTGTGAAAAATGGTCATAAGTCACTTTTTCAGTGCCGTTGTAACTTTGAATGGTCACTAAGGGAACTGTTGTTAGGCAAGGACTACCTGTAGCCTGCCTGTCTTCTCTACACTTGGATACTGCTCTGTCTGCAGCATCTTTCTATGCCTGGATCAAATTCAAAATGTTTCAGGTATTTAATATTTTCTAAGTGTAAGGCAATAAGTTTTCATTAATTTAAGTTGAATTAAATTATACTTATGAATACTCCCTCTCTGACAATTTTCATATTATCGGAATAGTGATGGGCTGTCTGGTAAAACAAAGCAAGGTTATGGCATATACTTGAAAGGAAACCAGGAAGCTTCTAATTGTGGAGTCTGTCTGGCAAGAACAAAGCATGCTTATTCACAGGGAATATGCACCTGTAATGCTTGTAACAATTCTGGGTGGTTAGAAAGCTGATAAAAGAAACAAAGATTGAGGCATCTTGCAGACCTCAGCTAGAAATCAGGAATGGGAATGGCCTGGAGGAAGAATGTGTATTAGATAACTCCTGGAACATTCATTAGCCAAGGTTTAAGAATAAGAAAGGCTAGAGACCAACAGAATAATTGTTAGATCATTACTAAAATGTTTATTAGATGATATTCCTTATATATCCCACCTTCTACTTTAGTGAAATTGTATAAAGCTTTCATAATTTTATTATCCAGGGTTCCTTGGCATTTTGGCCAAAACCCCTTTTCTTGGAGCGCTTCAATAAAAAGAAACAAAACCTGCACCTCATGTCTGGCGTTCTTCATCGGCCTCAGCACCAGGCTCAGACCAGAATTGGGGACAAAAATGTTATTGCCTTATACTATTATACTGATACTATTATATTAATTTAATTGTACTGATATGAAAACTGTTAGCAGGACAGGTTCCTAACTTTTGTCCTTTGTAAGTATTGGTATATGAACGTTGCTTATCAAAAACAGAATCTGTCTACATTTTAGCCAATGAGGAAGTTGGAAAAAGCACTAAATATTCCTCCAACCTTGCAAATCTTCTCTATATAGTTTCAGAAGGCCTTCACCATTTCCAGCACTGCAACTTGCTTTCTCTCATGGCTCCAGAATGTTTGAGCTTTTGAGGGACATATTCTATATTCTATACTTTGTATCTGTTTCATTAGATTTAGCTTCTACTTCTTATATTGTTTATTCCTTATCTTCTTATAGGCTTACAAATCCCATGGACTCTCAGTTTATAAAAAAAAATAAACATCTATTAGTTAATTCCCTTAATGTGTCATTCATGCAGGGATTTTCATAAGTGTTTGAGGCACATTTAGTCTGGATAAAAGCTAAAACGTTAGCAAAACTTTTGCTAACAATTATATTCGGCTGGCATTTCTCCCTAGCAGCAATATATAGGGTTTTTTCATAGATTAAAAATAATACATATTTAGCAGTAGCTTGACCTACATATGAAGCTTAATTACATACATGTAATAAATTCTGCTCTAAGTCAAAAGAGCAAAAATAAGATATATTGCTCTGAGCTATAATTTAAATTATAGAAAGCATTAATAGCTAACAAATTTGAGAATTCATTATTTTATTTCAATGGCATCTTTTCCTTAAGTTCTTGTTTTCTGATTGTTACTGAAAATTATGAAGGTGCTTCAGATGCACCCTGTACTTTCTTTTATTTCAGTTTAGTTTTAATTTATTTTTCAAAAATTGCATTATTGTTTTTTTTATAAACTCAAGCATGAATCCTTTATAACAACCCAGCTCATTTTCCAGGTCTAACATTACATGCATCTGAAGAGGTTTGGAATTATTTCTTCCAGAAAATAAACACCTCCCCTTTAACAGAAATACCATATTTTTAAAACAAAAATAATTTATATACATACCCACTGCGTGTGACAAGACACTGCCTGAGTCCAAGTTTTCGGAAAATGTCTACCACTGTTTCCATTGGTGTGTGGTCCGTGACAGTGAAGGGGCTTAGATTCAAAATACGCCGGAGTTTCAGCATATAAGGGCTATTGGCAGGGACCTCTGGAGGCTCTTCAGTAAAATATACAATTGAATTGCTTACTACACCATCTTGGCGCTGCCTTGCATTTTCTGTATGAAAAAAGTCAGACAAATAAGGACTATTGCACATCCATTTCAGGAGAGAAATAGTTACTGTTTTCTGATGATCCTTTAATGGTTCTTATAAGATCAGGATTATTATTAAGTGCATCTGTATAGCAGTCCCAGCACACTGATGCTGATGCCAGATTTATCCCAGCTCCCTTTTTAGGGATAATCTTGATATGGAATAATTTATCTAGAATACCACATTGTTCTATATGAACAGCACTTTTCATATCTGAGGCCATAAGGTTCAGGCCTACAGAAATCTATCTGCATGCATTCACACAACTACACAGGCTCAGAGAGAGAGAGAGAGAGAGAGAGAGAGAGAGAGAGAGAGAGACAGACAGACAGACAGACAGACAGACAGACAGACAGACAAAGATAACTTTGTCCCTGTTGTTCAAATTAACTAATTTGAATCCTTTTAATGGGAGCAAAGGACAAGAGATTAAGTAGATTGCTACATTTCTGCTTTCACTGGTCACAAACCAAACTACTTACCTTAAGGCTACAGAGAGAAAATATTTCAGAGCAAGCCAGATATTCCCCTATAAGATGTTAAAAACTCGTTCAAGAACCTCTAACTTCTTCTGGGATTCTGCAATTGCCTCGATAGCTATTGCACAAGCTCAAGAATAGTGCTTTTTTTAAACTGTTAAATGAAATTCTGAACAATTCTAACCCTTTGAAACTAGATCACTGCAGTGATCTAGTTTCCATTGTGACAGTATCATTTAATAGGACTTTTCTGCTACATTCAATATGACAGTAGATTCAAGGGGATCCTCAAAAGCTTCTTCAACTCAATAACTAAAATATGTATTCATTTATTTAAAAGATTTATATGGCCACTACAATTCAATCCTGATGTTCACAACAACAAAAAGCACAACTGAACAAACTTAGAACCAGGACACAGAACCAAAGCACCAGAACACTCATAGCCCAAATTCATATGTGTTGTGTTCAACTTTCATCTTGGCCCAGTGATTGGCAGAAGAGGTAGGTTTACACATCCTTCCTGAACCTAAGTGACTAGGGGTCCTCCAGATCTTGAGGGAAGGTTTACTTGCTGGGCATCACCAGATGACGCTGTTCAGTAGAAAGGACTTGGAGCATATCCCTAATCATTTTAACTGAAAAATGTAGAGCCCATACACACCAACATTTATCTTTAACCGTCCAGGTTATTTTATCTTAGCTTCTGGGAAAGGTATGCAAAAGCAGTATCTTGTAGGGACACTGAAGGGACTGAAACCAAGTCTCACAATCTTTCTTTCACACAATTCAACAGTTGGTTCACAAATGATTGCTTTCCAGACACAGACAAGCCTTTTAAAAGTCATACTTTTATATTGGGCAGTCCAGTAGCTTAAATAAAGGAATCAAATCTTGTGAAAGAGCAAAATATTGCGGACAGCATTTGGATAAAACAACAAACTAATTAGTTTGAACATAGAAGGAAATCTGAATTTAGCAAGGGATACAAATGGCAAAGGATTATGAAATCTAATAGTAGCATATATAACATGAAACCATACTGTGGCTTGTTGTTGGCTTAGCACTGTGATTATTGAATAGAATTAAATGTCAAATTCTTGAAGCGGTTGCCAATGGAAAACTTAATCAGCTTATACCTGATTTTAGGAAAGTGCCTATTTGACTTTTAAATTACACTCTTCATTAAGCTCAAAGTATTGACATATATTTTTCAGCTAATTGAAGCATATATTATTATTATGATTGACTTTTTTTTTCTCTAATGCGTGTGCACAGCAATATCATAGCAAAATTACTGCTGAAGAATGCATCCATTTCCCTTTCTTTTCCTTTTCTTTGATTTTCAGTGTGTAGAAGTGCTAAAATCTCCTGAACAATAATAGGCTTTCTAAAAAAATATCCTCTGTTCAAAAACAAAGGCTAACTAACACTAATATTTCCTCTTGATGCTAATCTTCAAAAGAGATTTTCAGTGCAAGTTTTTCTATCTCTCCCTTTGAACTATTTTCTATCAATCATGGAGCTAAAACCAACTCTTAACTTCTAACAGAACCTTGTCAGTTTCTAACACATTGGCATTGTACTGTATTATGTCTCACTTAAACTCATCTTGTAAAAACCATGTAATTTACCAAATCCCAAACTGCATCATCCTTCAATGCTTTCAAGCTTACATGTAATTTATTACATTTTATATAAATTATTGACTTTTTTCCCTTTCTTCTTATGGTAAATATGGCTAATTTTGTAATTGCAGTGTTTGCGTTCATCTCTATCACCTTCCTCTATGCATCAATTTACTATAGTTCTACTTTAACTTTGAAAAGAATAAGAAAAAGGAGACAGAAAATTTGTATAGACATTCAATCTGTTGCTGAGTATAATTGTTAATATATATTGAAACACTTCTTTTGTTACAAAAAGTAACAAGAAAGAAACTTTCTGTTATTCTTAAAAGAATCAAGATTTTATAAAGGCTAATTTGCAAAAGTAAAATTAAATGTATTGATGTGAGAAGATATGATATTGGGATCTTAAGTTTAGAATACTATTGCACACAATTAATTTCTTACCTAACTTTCTTCTAGGCCACCCATAAAACTAATCACCTCTATGTGAAACAGATGCAACTCACTTATTGCAAGAATCAAGTCCCGTCTCTGTGCAAAGCCAATAAGACGCTCTTTAGAAACCACCACTGGAAAGCCATTGTAGTCTGTTTCCTTGATTAATGTCTCCACATCTTCCACAGTCATGCTGTCTTGGGTCAAGACAGAAAGGGGAGGTTCTCCACGCCTGGGCCTCATAACATCCGTAGCCAGTGTTCTGTGGGTAAATTCATCTTTTACATCCAGAAATGGATAGCCATTCAAATGGATATGTGCCTCATAGATCCCTTCTTTGCCAAAAGCATCCGCAACCCACTTGCTAGTCACAGCTGCAGCCATAAGAGGCACAATATACTCTAGTCCTCCTGTTAATTCAAACATGATTACGACAAGCGAGACAGTCATTCTGGTAACTCCACCTGTCAACAGAAAGAAATTGATGGGTAGGATTGTGATAGACCAGTGGTGGCTAACCATTTTGGCTTCCTGTGCCAGAAATTGTGTGCATGCTTGCACACTCGCACTCGTGTGCCAGCACCCAGAAGGCAATGTGTGCCCTCCAACTGCCCCTACACCTGCACAGGCAATCCCCACCCACCCCCACCGCCCCCTTACCTGTTCTGCGCCTCACAGCTGATTTTTGGCAAGTTTGAGGCCTTTTTTGGCCTCCCAGAGGCTTGAAGAAGGCTTCTTCAGGCTTTGCAGGAGGAAAATTAGCCCCATTTCATCACTTCCGGTATTTTCAGAAAAACAGGAAGTGATTAAACCGGGCTAGTTTTCAGCCTGCAAAGTCTGCAGAAGCCTTCCTCAAGCCTTTGGGAGGCCGAAAAAGGCCTCAAACCTGCTGAAAATCAGCTGTGAGGCGTGCGAATGCGCAGTGAGATAAGTTTGCCTGCAGCTCGCGTGCCAGCACAAATGGCTGTGCGTGCCACCTGCATGCATGCCATAGGTTTGCCATCACAGTTATAGACAATGCCAGTTTGATTTTCTGCAACCTAACATGCATTTTCATAAGTGGAATCAACTATTAAATGTTGACATTTTTCCATAAACCAAACACAAAGGCAGCTCTGCAGTTGTACTGTATGGTATCCATTGAATTAGTATACAGCCTTGGCTTTCTTCATTCCCAAATGGATATGGTGCCTTCATTCCAAGGAAACTTTAGGTACTATATTCACGAACAGCAAAATTAAACAGATATCTGTCATACAGAACAACAATTAAAAGAATAATATATGGTACCTAAGCACGCAGCAGCTCCCACCATTGCATATAGTCCTGGAGTAACACAATCAGCTCCTGGTCTACACCAGTTTCTGAAGATGATCCAGTCGTGATGATGGTAGGCCAACTGTTCCACACCGATTCCAACAATTCTACCAGCTATTGCTCCTACAGCCATGCTGGGTATAAAGAGACCTGAAGGAATCTCAAATAACACAAAGTGAAGTTAAAACCAAATTATTATTTACTTAATAACTGCGTTACTAACTTAACAACAGAGGTGGCATTCAGCAAGTTCTGACCAGTTCTGGAGAACCAGTAGTGGAAATTTTGAGTAGTTTGGAGAACCGGCAAATACCACCTCTGACTGGAGATTTTACAGTATCCTTCCCCTGCCACGCCCACCAAGCCACACTCATAGAACCAGTAGTAAAAGTTTTTAAATCCTACCACTGCTTAACAACTGCAATGATTCAGTTAACAACTGTGGCAAGAAAGATAATAAAATGGAGCAAAACTCACTTAACAAATGTCTCAAGTAACACCATAAATTGTGGGCTCAACTGTGTGCATAAGTTGAGGACTACCTGTAGTATATATGGTAAAGGTGATTTCAAAGTTTACTTTAAATATAAACATATTACATTTCTTAAATTTAATAAATTATTTCAGTGACTACTGAAGTCTTCCTATTAAATGTTCTTCTTTCTTATTACTTCAGAAAACTCCATTGTTTTTGTTCACTGCAGAACCTTATCACCTTGCATTTCTTAATACCTTGGCTATTTTCCAAGATTGTTATCAATTCTGACCTTTACAACAATTAATCAAGCAAGAGCAGAAGAGACAACATATGAAGGAATCATAGCATGAAAAAATAAAGAGTTTTAATTAGCTCTATGATTCTCCCCATCACTGGTAGATACTTCACATTATAATTTAAGGGGAAATTGCTACAAAATGCTTTATAGATAGTATATAACTCTGTCAATTATTACCAAAATAGACAAATTATACAACAAGAAATGTGAGAAATGCCATAACAAAGAAGAAACATTTTATCACATATGGTGGTGTAGAAAAAAAGCAAGAGTACTATAAATAAATACATCAAAATATTCAAGAATTCTTAAAAAGCTGAACTGAATATAAACATTTAATGTGGTATAAAATATTATTTTTAGTGCAATCTTCCCCTTAGTTGTACTTGGATAAGTAAAAGATGGAACTCTGATGGCACAGTGGTTAGAAATGCAGTATTGCAGGCTAACTCTGCCCAGAGCCAGGAGTTCAATTGAGGTTGACTGAACCTTTCATCTTTCCGAGGTTAGTAAAATTAGGACCTAGATTACTGGGACAATATGCTGACATTGTAAACTGCCCAGAGAGCACTATAGAGAAGTATATGAGTGCTATTGCTATAATGGTATATTTGTTTCAGTGTATCAGAACTTAGGTGACTACAACATTTGTTAAACTATGCTTGATTTTCCAACTTACCTTCATGCCAAAAGTGAATATGGTAATGATGATTTTAAAAACCAGAGCTAGAGCTAGCTGCCACATAGCCATGTATACTCCTGCACCAGCTGGTCTGTCGGGAATATCATCCACGGGTCTAGTCATGTTAGGATCGTTTATGTAGTCACAGAGTTGCGACGACTCCAAGGCTCCACAGTCATTGAAAAGTTCAGAGATGAGCTCACTGGTGCTCCTTCGTGTGTAAGGATTGGGATAGGCAATAATAGCAGTTATGGCAGTGACTGCGATGACCTCTAAGACTGGATACTTTCCTAGCCTGGTAGTTTTACGCCTCCTGCACCATGCAATGTTGCATCGAATAAAAAGTGTCCCCCACAATCCTCCAAAAACTCCAAGCAATATAAAAGGGAAAAGTTCAGCCATGTACCAAGGGGTGTGATATTCCACATAAAAGAGAACCAAGCGGCTGTTTCCAAATGGGTTGATGGATCTCAGGGTAAAGGCTGCCACAAGTGCAGCAAAGAAAGATCTCCAGAGAGTCTTCAAGGGAAAATAATAACTCACCTAGGATAAAATAGAATCTATCAATAATTATCTTCAAAGGGTTTCCTTTGCAAATACTTGTGGAAGTGATATATTATTGTGCATTGATAAAGATGCAGTCCAAGGACAGGATTGTAGAAGTTTAAAAGAGTGGAAAGATTGCACTACCTTTGCAAATATTATTAGAAATATGCAACCACATCACAGAAATAGAATAAATAAATAAATACATCAATCAATCAACCAATAAGCTATTTTCAAATTTTCAGGAGATACTAGGATCCCATAACCATTGCTATTAAAGTACCAAAGAATTCTACAGGTACACAATATCCATATTGTGAAAAAAGAGAATATAGGAAAGATGCTTCATCATATACCATATTTTTCGGTGTATAAGATGCTCTTCCCCCACAAAAGTGGGTGAAAATGTCTGTGCGTCTTATACAGTAAATGTTGCCAAAGCCTTGCCCACCATTCAGCCTCCACTCTTCGCCCTCTGCTTCCCAGCAATTTGTCTCCTTGCAACAAATAGCAAACAGCCTGGTCAGCTTCAGCACAGCCTGATTAGCACAAAGCAGCTGATTGTTGATTGGATCTGCCTCCCAATGATCAGCTGTTTCAGGTTGCAGGGATCGCCATTGCCTATTGCTGCTTCTGTGCCCTCCATTTTTGGCCACCGTGCCCCATTTTTGGCCTCTGCGCGCCCCATTTTCAGCCCGTTCCAGGCAGTGGGGATCAGAATGGGCCCTTTTTCTTATATCTATAGATTCTGTTAGTTCTTCATTTACCATAACCTTTGCAGTTTGTTCATAGTATATCGTTTCAATGGCTTGAATGAATTTTTTGCCAAAGCCCATTTGTTCCAATTGCAATAACATAAATCACCAACTCACATTGTCAAAGGCTTTTTGTGCATCTAAAAACATCAAAGCCATTTGCTTCTCAGGATGTGCCTCATAGTATTCCAGAGTATCCAAAATAATTCTCACATTGTCTTTGATTTGACTCTTTGGCAGGAACCCATTTTGGTCAATATGGATAAAATTATTTGAATATCTTTTTAGTCTTTCTGCCAAGATTTAAGCAAAAATTTTATAGTCTGAATTTAATAGGGATATAGGTCTGCAATTTTTAACTTGCTGCAGGTCTGTATCCTCCTTCGGTATAAGTGTAATATATGCTTCTGTCCATGTTTTGGGTATTCTTTTCTTTAACCTAACTTCATTCATAACTTCTAATAGGTGAAGATTCAATATTTCCTGGAAAGTCTTGTAAAATTCCGCTGGTAAGCCATCTGGACCTGGTGCTTTTCCAACATTCTGTTTTTTTTAAGGCTTCTGTTAATTCCGTCATTGTTATATTTCCTTCTAGCATTGTTTCAGTATCTTTAGGTATCTGAGGTAAATTCGCTTTCTGTAAATATTACTTAACTTTTTCTTCTTGAATATTCTCTTGAAAATACAATTTTCCATAGTAATCTTGTATAATTTTTTTTCTTTTCCTCATTTCCATAGCAAGCATGTCCTTCTTCATTTATTAGTTGGCTAATCCTTATTGACTCCCTCTCCTTTCTCAAGTTATAAGCTAGCCATCTGCCTGGTTTATTTGCATCTTCAAAGTAATTCTGTTTAGCATTTTTAATTTTTTGTGCTAGTTCCTCTTTTTCCATTAGTCCCATTTTATGTTTAATATATCCATTTTGTTTTTAATGTCTTTTTTTGCGGGGACTTCTGTAAATCTTTTTCCAATTTTTTATAATCATCCTCCAATATTTTGAAAGTCTTTTTCTGTTTTATATTTCTTTTCCTTGTATAGTCAATTATCAAGCCTCTTGCGTAGGCCTTCATTGTGTCCCAGAGGTTCTGTAGAGATGTATCCTCTTTTCTATTTTCTTTTAAAAAGAAAGCAAGTTCTTTTTCTATTTTCTGTTTGAAGTCTTTTTCTTTTAGTATCGTATTATTTAAGGTCCATCTAGCTCTCCTCTTATATCCTTTCCAAGTAACTTTCACTGGATTAGGGTCTGCCCAGGTGCTTGTTTCTATTTCAGTCTCTCATATGTTGGCCAGTAATTCTGACATCCATATCATGTCTATTCTGGACAATGAAGGATGTCTGTTTGAATAAAAAGTGTATTGCTTACTCTCCACATTTCTCTCTCTCTATGCATCTTTTAAGTTGAATTCTTCTGTTATTCGAAAGAAAGATTTTGGTAATATCTTTCTAGCTTTCATCGTTGATTTCTGTGTTTTGTAATCCAACCGATCATTAACTATTCCATTAAGATCTCCCATCATACAAACATTAACATAGTCCAATTCAATTATTTTCATATGAAATTTCCTGTAAAATTCTTCTTGGTTATAATTTGGAGCATAAATTGCAATTAAAAGTGTTTTAACATTATTGTCTGTTATTTCCACCATCAAAATCCTTCCATCGTCATCTTTGTAAATTAATTCTGCCAAAATTGTATATAAAATCACACCTCTTTTTTTTATTGTGCCAGCGATGTGAATAATTTCCCTAACAATTTCCCTAATTTTTGTCCACTGTCGCCCCTGCTGTTTGTGTTAACTTTGGAAGTGTTGAATAGAAATATTAGAGAAGACAAAGAAATAAAAGGAATGAAAATTAAAAAGGAAGAGTATAAATTGCAAGCTTTTGCAGATGACCTGGTATTTATATTAGAAGACCCATTGGAAAAGCACCTAGATTAATAGAAAAATGGAAAAATATGGAAAAGTAGCAGGTTTGAAAATAAACAAAGATAAAACAAAGATATTAACAAAGAATATGTTAGTAAGATGAAAGAAAGAGTTGGAAGAAGTTTTAGAAATACAGGTCACAAACAAGGTTAAGTATTTAGGGATATATATCACACCAAGATGTAACACACTGAAGGAAGATAATTATCTTAAACTCCAGCAGCAGATTGCGACAGATTTGACAAAATGGGGAAACTTACAATTGTCATTGATTGGGAGAATATCTACAATTAAGATGAATGTATTTCCCAGAATTCTATATTTATTCCAGACAATTCTAATCCGACTAGGGAAGGAGTTTTTTGAAGACTTAAATAGAATTGTGCTGAAATATATTTGGCAGGGCAAAAAAGCAAGAATAAAATTAAAACTGTTACAAGATGCAAGAATAAGAGGAGGGTTTGCCTTGCCTAATTGGGAATTATACTACCAGGCAAAAAAAATTGGTGGGCAAAGGAATGGATAACATTAAGGAATAATAGACTATTGACCTTAGAAGGGTATGACTTGCTGTTGGGATGGCATGCCTTTCTTTGGTATAGGGGAACTAAAACACAGGGGTATTTTAGAAGACACTACATACGAGAGGCATTGTTTTTGAATTGGGAGAAGATAAAAAGACAATACTACTTAAAAATTCCACTATGGATATCTACCATTGAAGCTTTTTCTTATCCAATAATACATAAAAAGGAACAAACAGTTAGATATGGTGAGATATTGAATGAAAAGGGTGAACTTAAATCTATGCAAGCATTGGAAGAACAAGGTGTAAAAATGAATTGGTTTTCATATTTGCAAATTCAATCTAGATTTGACAAAGATGTTAAAGCAGAAGGTATTCATGATAAGTTGACTGATTTAGATAAGATTTTGATGGGTACTGATGAAAAGGTAATTAAAAACTTTATGGACACTTATTAAAATTTAAATTAGAGGAGGAACAAGTTAAAGAAACGATGATTGCTTGGGGGGAAAAATTTGGATACGGGATTGATTTAGAAAAAATGGCAAAAATTGTGGTCTCAAAATTATAAAATGACAATGTCAACTGCATATAAAGAAAACTTGAAAAGATGTTTTACAGGTGGCATCTACCACTGACGAGACTTGTGAGAATGTTTTAGAATAAATCGGATAAATGTTGGAAATGTCATCAGATACCTGGTTCATATTACCATATGTGGTGGATATGCTCGGATGCAAAGAAATATTGGACTAAAATCCACACATGGTTGGAAAAAATGATAAAACAACATATACTTTAAACCAGAGATCTTTTTATTGGGAATTATACCAGAAATATACAACAAAGAGTTGAAATATTTGATTGTAAATGTATAAACAGCAGCTAGGATTGTATTTGCTAAGAATTGGAAAAAATGATAAAATACCTATGCAGGAGGAAGTTATTAAGAAAATTATGGACTGTGCTAAAATGAGTAAATTGACATTTGAAATTAGAGAACAAGAATATAAACAATGTTATATGATATGGGATTTGTCTTATCAATGGTTGGACAAAAAGACATGGTAATGTAATAGACAAGATAATTTTGTGATAGAAATTTAATAGATATAAGATATAATATAGATATATACAGCCATTGGTTGAAAGTATAACATAAACTTTAAGATAACATTTGGAATATCTCGTATAAAATGATGGAATAAATAGTTTAGTCATGTATGATTAATAACTGATAAATATATAACCATATGTTAGTTTGACAATGTGAAAATTGATATAAACTGTGAGTAAATGACTATAAAAGAATAGCACAAAAGATTTGCAACCAACTGACACATTGTATATATATAAAATGGAGGATGGTTTTATGTTTTTATGTTTTGTATGTGTATGTTTGTCTTTAAAAAAATAAAAACTATTTTAAAAAAAAAGAATGGGCCAAAAACGGGGCACGTGGAGGCTGAAAATGGGATAGAGGGGCCAAAAATGGGGCACACAGAGGTGGCCATAGGCGCTGGCAATCCCTGCAGTCTGAAACAGCTGATCCTCGCGAGGCAGATCCAACTGACGATCAGCTGCTTGTGCTAATCAGGCTGTGGTAAAGCCGACCAGGCTAATTGCTGTTTGCTGCAAGGAAGCAAATTGCTGGGAGGCAGAGGCAGATTTTTTCTTGTTTTCCTCCCCAAAAGCTAGTGTGTCTTATACTTCGGAGTGTCTTATAGTCCGAAAAATACAGTACTTATATTTCATCATATAATGTTATATAATTGTTTATGTTTCCCAGTTTTTACTAGTAGCCACATAAAAATTAATTTGATACAATTGTGAAATTGCTATGTACTTTTCAAAGGAAGGTAATCTTACCCTATGGTTCATGATTGCAAAAGAAAATTGCCTTCACATTTGCTAGTTATTTTAAAGAATCAAATGAGGAGAAGTTCATTTCTATCACATTTAATAAAATAACTGAATATTAAATGAGGTATATGACAAATTGTTGCCTAAATATCTATTTTAAAATCACTTCTACCTAGCAGTACAGTAGTTCATACCATCCTCACCAATTTATAATATGATCTTTTGGTATTATCTTCTAAAAAGGATGTATATGTGGTAAGTTATTCTTCCTTAACAACACTGTTGCTATGTTACTGGTTTCTATGATACCAAGACTGGATGTTTTCCATGCATTTTAAGGCATTTCATTTTTTTCTTTATATAACCATGTAAATGACTTAATCCTCCAGGCCAATCAACAACAACGAAGCATCTGGATTAATAATATATCTTCCTGCCAAGAAGAGACTCAGAGAAATAAAAAAATGTTACAATATAATAGTCCTCATTTAGCTACTGCCTTGTTCAGCAACAATTCACAAATAAAATGGTGATGAAAAAGCAACTCCTTGCATTTATGATTTTCACAGATCAAAGCAAAGGAAAGCTGAAGTGAGCACAGTCATGGTTTCACTTAGTGATGGCTTCACTTAATAACTGAGTTGCTGGCCCCGTTGTAGTCACTAAAATACAATTGAAGATAAAACAAAAAAACTGTTTTGGATAATCTTACTTTTAGGAATGTTTTCAACTGATATAAGGCCTTGCAAGTGTAACAGCAGCAGTATCAAGATATTTTAACCAATCAAGATCAAGCAGTCCAGCCCCCTGCTCAAGCAGAAAATTAGGGGTATCAAACTGGATTAGCATTGCAGTTCTCCTTCACGGGCCAGCCAGGGGGAGCAGGGAGGGAGGAGACATGATGGATGCATCCTGCTGGCTAAAATGGGGCACAGAGTGACCACACATGGCACCCCGCACCCTATTTTCAGCTTGGATGGCCTCCTGCAGCACTTTGCCAGCTAAAATGGGGCACAGGGGCCCATGGGCAGCCCGGTTTTGGCTGGCAGAGTGCTGCTGGAGGCTGGGGAGGCCAAAAATGGGCCACACAGGGGCCTCATGAGGCCTCCGTGTGGCCCATTTTGGCCGGCAGAGGCACCATGGGTGGGTCCTTTGATATTTCCAAGGCGACCCAGCGGTCCAGATTGAAGCACCCCATGGACCAAATCTGGCCTGTGGGCCTTGAGTTTGACACTCCTGCCCTATATCACTTCAGACAAGTGATTGTCCAGTCTCTTCTAAAAAATATCCAGCGATGAAGCACTCACAACTTCTGAAGGCAGGCTGTTCCACTGGTTAATTGTCCTCATTATTAGGAAGTTTCTCCTTAATTCCAGGTAGCTTCTCTCCTTGATTAGTTTCCATTGTTTCTTGCCCTACTATCTGATGCTTTGGAAAATAAACTGACCCCCTCTTTTTTGTGGCAGCCTCTCAAATACTGGAATACTGCTATCATGTCCCCCCACCGCCAGTCCTTCTTTTCTCTAGCCTGGCTTACTCAATGCCTGTAACCATTCTTCATGTGTTTTAGTCTCCAGGCCTTTTAATCATCTTAGTTGTGCTTCTTTGCACCTTTTCCAAAGTCTCAACATCTTTTTTGTTATGTGGTAACCAAAAGTGGATGCAATATTCCAGGTGTGGCCTTACTAAGGGTTTATAAAGCAGTACAAATACTTCATGTGATGTTGATTTTATACCTCTGTTTATTACAACCAAGGATTGCATTAGCTTTTTGGGCTGCTGCCGTGCATTGCTGATTCATGCTTAAGTGATTGTCCACTAGAACTCCAAGGTCCCTCTCACAGTTTTACTGTTTTTGAGCCAGATTTCACCTAATCTGTATTGTAACTTTAGTTTTTCCTGCCCAGGTGTAAAACCTTGTATTTCTCCACACATTAAATTCCATATTGTTAGATAGGGCCCATTATTCAAGTCTATCAAGATCTTTTTGGATTCTGAGCCTGTCTTCTGGGGTGTTGGCTATTCCTGCTAGCTTAGTGTCACCTGCAAATTCGATGAGTTCCCCTTCTATTTCCTCATCTAAGTCATTTATGAATATATTAAAGAATACTGGGCCTAAGACGGAACCTTGTAGTACGCCACTGTTTACACCTCTCTATGTAGATGTAGTATCATTAAGGACTACTCATTGAGCATGGCTGTCAGCCAATTACAAATTCATCTGGTGATGATGTTGTCTATTCCACATTTTCCTAGTTTACCAAGAAGTAGGTTGTGGTCTGCTTTATCAAATGCCTTCCTAAAGTCTAAGTATATTATGTTCACAGCATTTTGCTCGTCTACTAATTTAGTCACTTTGTCAAAGAATGAAATAAGATTGATCTAACCCTAACAAATCCATGCAGGCTACTAGTTATAGCTTTATTTGTTCGCAGATCTGATTTTTTTTAAATTATTTTTTCCAATTATCTTCCCAGGTATTGATGTTAGATGGATTGGCCTGCGGTTTCCTGGATCTGTTTCCCCCAACTTTTTTGAAGATGGAAACCACATCAGCTGTTTTCCAATCCTTGGGTAATTCCCATTTGTTTCAGGAGTTTTGAAAGATATGGTACAATGGTTTTGAGATAACATCTTCCAGTTCCTTCAGAATTCTGGGATGTAATCCTTCAGGTCCCAGTGATTTATGTTCATCAAAATCAGACAGGTGTTCCCTAACCGCTTTCTTGCTTATTTTAATTTTTATTTCTAGTCTGGCTTTAAAAATTAGGTTTTTAGTAGGTTGGTCTATAATTTTGTTTTGCTTCAAGACTTAGGCAAAGAATGAGTTAAACAGTTCTGCTTTCTCTCTGCTGCCTGTGACTTCCCTGCCATCTTCTCTCTTAAGTGGGCCTACTGTTTCTTTGACTTTTTTCTTGTTATTTATATGTTTAAAGAAACTTTTAAAAAAATTATCTTTGACTTTTGTTGCAAGTCTTTGTTCATTCTGAGGCTTTGCTTTCCTGACTTCAACTTTGCAGATTTGGGCTATCTGCTGATAGTTATGTGTCTGTCTTTCTATTTTTTGTATTTGTTCTTTTTGTTTTTCAGTTTATCAGAGAGATCTTTGGGCAACCATGCTGGTTTCTTCTTGGATTTCTTGTTTTTTTTTTCAGTGGTATTGTGTTGGATTGGACTTTTATGATAATATTTTTCAGAGTTTCCTATGCTTCTTGAGTTGTTTTCCCCTTTAGGATTTTCATCCATGGAATTTTTCTTAGATACCAGCTGGATTATCTTCTATTGCTTGTGTTTGCATTATATTGAATTCCAGCTTCTAGTCACCAGCTCAGCTCAGAGATGTCTACCTATTTCCATTCTTTCTCTAATGATTTCTGTCCCTTGAGCGCTGACTGCCACCCACTGTCTAAAGCAAAACAATACAGGAACAGCTACCAATAAACTATGCCATACAAAGCATTTGCTCAGCTTATGACATTAAAAATACTTCTTACCTCTTCTAAACTAAAAAGGACCCCCCCAATGGGTGCGCCAAAGGCAACAGAGACACCAGCAGCAGCTGCAGCTGACAGCACCTAACATGGAAACATGAATCCACATGTTAGTAGTCTGTGGAAAATATTCACAGAATATTAGGTGAACGAAGGAAATGGTGAAACTACCAATACCTCTCTCCTTTTTCCTTCATTCTTGCTATACTTGGAGAAGAGGCTGCTAAAGCAATTGCCACAGCAGCAGGCTACATGCACGAGAGGCCCTTCTTTGCCAAGACTGAGTCCTGAGGATACCACCAGAACTAAAGTTACAGTTTTGATTAAGAGCGTCCACTTGCCTAGGTATCCTCGAATAATGAAGCCACTTAAGATGGTCTTTATCTAAAAGAGAAAGAAGAACAAAAGTTGGTTGATCAGATTTTTGTGAAACCACTAGGAAATCTAGGCAGATCAGGAATCATTTTGCTTTTTCAAGATAGGTGAATATTCCATGCTGAAAAACTCAAACCAAGTGGCCAGTTTTAAAGTCAACCATTTCCTTTCCTTTACCTACTTTCCTCTCCATTAGCAAGGAGTGCAGACTGAGTCTGCCTGAAATGTTGCATTGTAGAAAATTATTCCCTCCCCTCTCACTCCCAAAGTCAAAGTTATACCAATCAAGTAAGGAGACATTACCTCTGGAATTCCAGATCCACAGGCATAAGGAGCAAACACCCTCACAAGGGAGACAGCCAGGAAAACAAATAACAATGCCCATAAGATATATAGGAAGTAATTTAGAATGTAAGCACTGGCACCCTAAAAAAGAAAAAAGAAACAAGAACAGATCACTGTTAAGACAGTCCAAAAAGGGGGGCACATTTATGGTGGCTGTATGGAAGAGTGAGAAAATATGAAGCACAATCTCTTCATCAACTATGTTATAAGATTTATACAGTATATTTCATATTTGGCTTATTCAACCACACAAATATTTTCCTTGATGTCTGCAGTCTGATGCATCTAAATATTAGTAAAACTCTCCTGTCTCTTTTGTCCATTTGTAACCTTGTCTTGTCAATTAGGATAGAAGGAGCTTCATGTTGATTGCATCATGTGACATATTGTGACATATCATGATGTTTTTTGCCTTTGTGGAGCTGGGGTGGGCGTGGCCTGCACGTGATACAGCTCTCCCATAGGCCGCCAGTCTGACACCTCTGACCAAGATATTTCAAGTGGGCTAACTTAAATAATGCATCCAAAATCCAGGAACCATTACTCCCACCTAATTGAAATAAATGATCAAAGGGAAGATGGGAGGGGCATATCCCCATTTTCTTTCCTGCCTTATTCTTTCCACTGCACCAAATCAGCTGTCAGCAAGGTCTGATGGGTAAGTGATAATTGACTTCTTTGGAATGGAAACCAAAAATTGAAATCTCTTAGCAATAGTGGGCAGTGAGGGAATGATTAGGAAACAATTTGTATGCCTATTGGCAAGAAAAGGATAGCTGGATAGACCTGGCTGGGTAAGCCCACTGGAGAAAGGGATCCTTGGGGGCATGCTGGAATGCAGAGTAGGCATGCAGTTTTCCTTGTGGTCCTCAGGTCTCTTTATCCCACTCCCCCGGCCAGTAAAGTGGCAGGCAAATCTATGGGTCAGCTGAGGAGGCTTCACTAGGAGGTTGTGAGAGGAAGGGAAGCAGCATCAGCCTACATTATATGTGGAAGAAGGATGACTCAAAAGATCATGAATTGTGTCATGTTTATTTGAAAATAAATCTTTATGTTGTCAGAGGACTTACTCCCAAATAAACACCAATAGTTTGGGACTGCAGGTCTTCCAATATGGGACCTCAATAAGGCAATTTATGAAAATTGCAAATATTTTTTCAAAAACATAGAAGGAAACATAATGTATTACAAAAAATATTGATCACTAAGGCCTAAATTATTGCAGAGGTACTGTAGCCATAAATGAAGAGGGCAGGGCAAATTAAATCAATTTTAAATGAGTTGGGACTGAAAACTGCAATATTTCCCATTAAGGCTCCTTCATTTCAAATCAGTTTTGTTTCCTTTTGTAAGTTAGCAAAAGTTACAGTCTATGCAAAAAGTGGATGAAAAAAAATTAAGCCTGTAAAATAGTAGAATGGGGAGCTATTTTAAATAAATACAATCCATTGCTCAACATTTATAATGCTTTTTGCAGCTTTAATGAGATGCTTTAGGGGCAGTGAAAAAATGGCATTTCACATAGGCATTAAAAATTGAATTTTGGGGGGACAATAATAAAAAATTGTTATTGTAACAAATGTATGTTTCCCACTTATACTCTCACCTATTGCATAGAATGATGAATGACTGGAGACTCTTCTGATAATTTTGACATCTGGCTTTACTTATTCAAGCTTAAGACATAGATCAGGAGTGTCAAACTCGCATAGTCACAGTGGTGTCACATGACCTATCAGGACTTTCCCCCCTTCATTAAATCGGGTGAGGGTGGGGCCAGCACATGATGAATCCAGCCTGTGGGCCATGAGTTTGACACCCCTGACATAGATGAATTGTTAGACCTGTCCCAATCCGATCGCTTAGGAAAGAAAAGCCTTTAACTCCATTTGGTTAAAGCAAATGATTCTTTTAGTTGCAGTAAAGTCAAGCGAGCTCTGAAACTACCGTGCTTGCTGAATACAAAAATAAGATGTAGGCTGCACCCATCCCATTCCTCCTCCTGTGACCAGTCCGCCAACTGGAGCTCACCAAGATGTTTTGAGAATTCTGAGATGTTTGAGGGTAATTCGTATATGTCTCAGGGTGCCTGGCTGTGGGATGTTGGTACATACAGGTTCCGGTTGCTCTGGTCCTTCTAACCTATCGCTCCCTTCTCCCAATTTCCTATCACATACACAAAAAGCTTTATTGCCCTTTCATCTTTCCCTCTTTCATCCTCCCCCCTTCTTCTTTTTACGGCAGGATTCCTATGAGGCCTCCCAAGTTGAGCCAGGCAGATCTGAAATGAAGGGCATCTATTCTGATGCTTTGATTCTTATTGCTACAGCTGTCATTGCATATTTTTAAATAAGAGACAGCTATGACAATAAGTTTTATTCCTTCGCAGGCTGAACTTTGTTTGAAAATTACAGTCCATAACAGAGTGACTGAAGGACAGTTTCAACACATATTCTTTCCTTGATAAATAAATATATAGGGAGGCAGCCAAAGAACATTTGTCTCAGTTTGTCATATATAAATTAAGATTTCATCCCAAAAAGCATATAAGCAATATTTTGGACTTACTGCTATGCTGAGACAGTGATGACATAATGGTAAACTACATTTATGTAGATATGCATGCAATCCCCTTACAAACCATCATTACTTAACACTGAGGTAACTATTTGAGCAAACTACTATAAGATTAAAAAACAGACATAAGTTGAACGTACATAGATAAATATAGAGATAGATAGATAGATAGATAGATAGATAGATAGATAGATAGATAGATAGATAGATAGATGACAGATATAGACAGAGACAGAGTTAAAACCTTAAACAATTAGTGTGTAAATTACAGCAAAATTATAACCATACCTCAGATTCATTAACTAAAAGTTCAGACCACTTTTGCCACTGAGGACATTTGTCCCGGTCTTCAAAAGTAGTTTCATTGGATGTCCAGCAACACTGCTCATGACTATACCAAAAGGCTTCTAAACAGACTCCTTCTTTCAAATCAGTCATCCAGTCCACTGCTAAATCTATCACTCCAGCCAATGTGCCTAACAGGAAGAGAAATAGATGTTAAAGAAGGACCCAAACGATTGATGCTAAGAAATGAGTTTGCACATGCTCTTGTAGAAGTGCCTCTTGAATATGAGTTGGACATATATGTAACTCCGCATTAAGTCACCTCGCAGTTACCAAAACAAGAAGTTAGGAGAGCTGTCCATCTCATAGCCATAGGGTGTCTTCAAGAGCATTTATTACACATATTGGTTAGCACCTACAACAGTGAGTGAGTGAATGAAATCTGCCAAACAAAAGATGAGAATTGTTTCCTTGTATCTTTCTATAACCTTTTTTATGTAATATAGTGTTTCTCTTAAAATATAGATTGCTTTTCTTGACTTATTTCTAAGAACTTCTAAACAACACACACCATTATTCATCTAAATAAGCTTTTAAAGCAAGAAAATATATTCTTATCTGGATTATCCCATGAGCAGCTGAAACTGATAAGGTCAAAACTTAGGTTTGGGATTATTCACCAAAGTTCATAGTAGGTTAAGACCACTTGCTGAACAAATAGGAAGTGTGCATGATTGTTATTTTCAATATACCGACCTAAAAGCAGACACTGATTCAATAACAAATACCATAAATAAAAACTTTCTTTTTACAACCCTGTAATCCTTTAATTTGGAATAGAGTTGGGGTGACTGGATGGAGCTGAGAGTTACTGGCCGGATTCCCTTCCTGATGCCATGTGGTGTTCGCAGCAGATATGTTTTCTTTGCGCTCTTGGAGAGAAATATCTGCCACTGCCTGGGATTGAACTCTCAATCTTCCAAGTGGAAAGTGAGCATCTTCACCACTAGGCCATCAAAAACATTTTTTATATTTATTTTTATATAGTTATGGTAAAAACATCATCAATAATCACATCAATCATTTATAATTGGCTTATATTGTATTAGAAATACATATAATTTTTATACCTTCCATTTTGAAATTGTAATATTTTTGTCTTTCCATTCCAAATAGTTTGCACTTTTTAAAATAACATAGTACAACAGTGACATCAAGTGGTTTCTCATAGCAAGAAAAACTGAAATAGCATTTTTAGTGACTGCTTTATAAGAGTTTGCCTGAATAAATATTGCTTCATGAACTATGCATGGCTCTAATTACATATTTCAGCTAAACACTAGAAGAACATTTGTTGTTTATTTATACCAAATCAAAATATATATAATAAACCACAATACAATCTAAAATAACTGCCTAGTATATTTTTTACTTACTACAATATCTCTTATCAAGATAAGAGATATTGTAGTAAGTAAAAAATATGCTAAGCACTTACCTCTTATCTTTATAAGAGATATTATACGCTTTCTAAAGTAACTTCTCATGTAATGGGCAGCTATATAAATTTAATAAATAAACATAAGGCTTTGCAAACTATTATCAATTAACCCAAAAATTGTTGTATAACCAGAATAAACAACTGTCTCTACAGCGCACAACCTTTAATAAGTAAATATGAGTTAACATTTGTTTGAAATTACCTGCCAGCAATCCTATAAGTAACATAACAACCCATCCTGACCAAGCATCCAATAAACTTTTGATGAATTCCCATATGGACTCCTTGCTTTTATTTGTAATCTGGAAAAAATATATTATTTAATTGAAAAAGTTGCAATGTTGATATTTCATTAAATATATCCCCTATATTCAACCTAACATAAATATATGTAAGCTATAAAATGCAAATGGCATTTTTATTTGGCAGAGAAGATGAGGCAAGATATGATTATTATTATTATTTTATTTATGTGTATCCCGCTTTTATGAACAAAACATATTCCATAAAAGCGTTGAAGAAATCTGTCAGGGCTAGGAATATTTTCCATTATCTAGAGTTAGTTGCAGTGTGAATTTATTGAAGAAAAAAATTAAATTAAGATTAATCATTTCCTGCAATGTGTGTCAGATTGACTTTTGGGGAAAAATGATCTATCCTTATAAAATCTATAAGGTTGACTCAGCCTCCCATCCTTCTGAAGTTGGTAAAATGAGGACTTAAGATTGTTGGGGGCAATATGCAAATAACACTGAAATTGTGAACTGCCCAGACAGTTCTGTAAAGCACTATGTGGCAATATATAAGCTTAAGTGCTATTTCTAGTGCTATATTTCTAATAATTGTAACTATAGAGTTTAGAATAAAAATTTTAAAAAATTATTTAATCAATCTGGAATCATATTTTTATTGGACTCAATATTGTATTTCTTGTATAACTCTCACTGCTAATGTTTTACTAAGGTTCTTTCTCTTTTCTTAGTATCTTGTCTATTGTAATAAAAATTATGTCCTATAAACATGAAATTTAGTAAATTAATATTTAAAAGACATAAAGAGATAAATGGGATTACAAACAATAGGTCTTTAACTTTCTTCTCCAAAAATGGTAGCCTAGCCAATTGCTGGGTGTTTTTATACAAACTATATGTGATAATTTGATCTCTTATGGTCTGGCATTGTCCCATATCAGGAATCCATATAAGTCATAATGCTCCTTTTTAAGCACTCTTTTCTAAGCACTCTTAAGCAAACTGCTTAAAAAGAATGAGGAATAGTAAGTTAAAAAAATTTAAAGGTATATAAGAACAAGGAAAGGTATAATTGCTAACACTAGCTTCTAATTGATTCATTGTATGTATTTGTACTTTTCTACCCTTGAAACTATCCTTATTCCCACCACATCAATGTGACTTTTAACCTTTTAAACTTTTATCCTCTCTGGTTTTGAGAATATCCAACTTTCTCAGTATATCCTTTCTTTGGTTCAATTTTTTTTTAAAATAAATAAATTATGACTTGATTTTCACTTGGCATGGGAAAATGAGATTTTTCATTTCAGCATCTTTTTTCTTTAGTTTTATGTTTTATTGTAATTTCTCTGATTGTTGTGAATTAACCAGAATCATTGAGAGTGAGTTGGCATACAGCTTTATAAATTATTAAGTTAGTATTATCTTTACTTGTTTACCATACAGGCCGAAGTAACCTATCCCCATTGAATTCAATTGGCCCTATCTTTCTTGACACTCAATTGTCAAGAAACAAACTGTCAATAACAAAGTAGGCAAAAGGATTCTCTTATACAAAGCTTTTTTTTTTTTGCTTTTCAACAAACATTAATTGCCTTCAGTACGCCATCCAACCTATCTTTCTATCAGAATTTCATATCTAACAGTTTCTCTATCAAGTTGTCTCTCTTTGGTGAGTATTTTACCACTAGCAGAGGTACTGTGCATTCAGAAAGTATTCAGACCCCCTTCAGTTTTGTCAATTTTGTTATGCTGCAGCCTGATTCTACAGTTGTTGAAATTCATTTTTTTTCTCATTAATCTTCATTCAGTACCCCATTGTGACAAAATGAAAACAGAATTTTAGAAATGTCTATAAATTTATTTAAAAGAAAAAATCAAATTGTCATAAGTATTCAGAAGCTTTGCAACGCTTGAAATTGAGCTCAGGTGCCTCTTGTTCCTCTCGATGGTTGCTGACATGTTTCTGCACCTTGACTGGAGTCCATCTGTGGTAAATTAAATTGATTGGACATGATTTGGAAAGGCACTCACCTCTCTATAGAAGGCCTCACAGTTGACAATGCATGCCGTAGTACATTTCCGATGAAGATGGCCAACTGAATACATATCGAGGGAGGGTTCCCTGAAGGGTTTTTCCCAGCACTGTAGCTCTTCATCTACTAACGGAAGGAACTAGCATTCCTTCAATTTATATGATTCTCCTAAGTTAGGAAAAGTCTTAGCCCTCAAGATCCTCTGATACAGCTGAGATCTGCAAGTAACTTCAGGAGCTTTGAAGCAACTGTGTGCTGAAAGCTGGGGAGAGGGGCTGCAATGTGATTGTCATGGGAGAAGCAGCCACTTGCACATTTACTTTTCAAATTGACAATGCTTTTCATTTCTTAAGCACCTTTAAGGACTATTAATCTTTACTAAGTTAAAAGAGGCTCTTTTTAGTCAATCCTTTTTGAAGTTCTGTGCCATTTTGGGGGTTTCTTCAGTGTTGAACAACAAGGAAGAAGGCTGCGAAGGCAAGCCAAAATAAGGAAGTGCGGAGCAAAAAAAAAAAAGCTGATGGAGAAACATAAAGACAAAAAGTTGTGGCTTTAGTTTATTATTTGTATTATCCGTAGTAATTTGGTCTGCTTTGTTGTGGGTGGCTAAAACTTTCTGATTTTTATTATTCCTGAACGGCTAGCAATTTCTAAGTGACTTATAAAAAAGCAACTCTTTGATAAAAGAAGGAGTTAAGGAGGAGCAAATTATTAGAGATGTATTGGAAAATTTTGTAACTAAAATTCATCAGTTTGGATCAGCTGTGCTCCAGGGATGATTAAAAAAAACTTCTCAAACTTCCTTGGAGATGCAAATGTGTAGAAAGTTATCAAACTATCCAGGCATCTTCACAAGTAGCTGAAAATGCAGAGAAGTGAACTGCAATTTTGGAATACCAACTCTTATTATGATGGTTTTAATATAAATCTCTCAACACAACTGAAATAAGAGTTTCAAGGAAATATGCAACTTTTAAAAGGACAAGTTTGGGACTTTTTTTTTAAGGATATTAACAAATTGAGAAATCCTTGACAAAAAGGGAAGCTACTTGATAAACTTTCCAGACAAGAAAACGATTTTACTCCATGAAGACAACTTGGAAGGAGTGAGTTAAACTTAACAAGTTAACTGCAATTAGGATTTTTATCTGTTTGATATTTATAATTGAATAAAGTCTTAATCTTAATCTAAAATTTGAAAATATAACTTTATATATATATAATGCATAAGTAATTCCTAAAGTATGCAAAATGTTATTGAAAATGTATTTGAGAGTACTTGTGTTAAGAGAAAGTTAAAAAAATGATGTATTAGTTTAAATAAAAATTTAGACTTTTAAAAAGAATATATACAAAAGAAAAAATATTATTCTATGAGGTTAGTTTAGGTAAATTTAACACCAAATTTCAAAGTATGTATGTTAAGTAGTTAAAAGAAAAAGATGTATTAGAAAGTTTTGATTTCAGAAATGTGTTTAAAGAAAAGTTTAGCATTTTTAAAAGGATGTTAAAGTATTTTTCCCTGAATACAGTGAACCTTGCATTATAAATAGTGAAGTTTATAAAGATTATTAAATGCAAATAGAAATATATATTATTTCCACAGTAAGGAAGATAAAGCAGAAATGGTTATATTATTTTATTCAAAGAGGATAATATATTTAAGTATGTTTTTCATTTGGATATCACTTCTGAATTTTATGTTTGTGGTGAAAAAAATTAAACTTTGACTTTGGTTTTGTCAATTAGATTTGTCGTTATAGAAATGGTTAGTTATATACTAATGTGTAAAAGCAAAAAGTTGAAGCTGGGGTGTTTTTATCTTGCATTATGCTAAAAAGAGTTGGAGGTCAACAGCTTTTTTTTTTCTCTTATACCTTACATTTTCTTTCCCCCTAATTTTCCATTTTTATTTCTCTTTGTAGTTTATATATAGATAAACAGTAAAAACTATGATTTGAAATGCATACTATAGCAAAGCAAAAGCCTTAAGGTCAAAGGAAATGCCTGCAAAGCTCAGAGACAGGATTATTGCAAGGCATAGATCTGGGGAAGGCTACAGTAAAACTTCTGCTGCACTGAAGGTTCCTAGGAGAACAGTGGCCTCCATAATTCTCAAATGGAAGAGGTTTGGCAGGACTCTTCCAAGAACTGGTCACCTACTCAAACTGAGCAATCGGGGGAGAAGGTCTTAGGAAAAGAGGTGACCAAGAATGACCAAGAACATAATGGTCACTCTGACTGAGCTCCAGCGATCCTGTGTGGAGATGGGACAGAGTTCCAGGACAACTATCACTGCAGCCCTCCACCGATCTGGGCTTTATGGAAGAGTGGTGAGATGGAAGCCTCTCCTCAGTGCAAAACACTTGAAATCCCAATTGGAGTTTGCAAAAAAAAAAAAACCAACAACACCTGAAGGACTCTCAGACTGTGAGAACAAGATTTTCTGGTCTGATGAAACCAAGATTGAACTGTTTGGTCTCAATTCTAAACATTATGTCTGAAGGAAACCAGAGACTGCTCATTACCTACCCAATACCATCCCAACAGTGAAGCATGGTAGTGACAGCATCAGCCTGTGTTTTTTAGCAGCAGGGACTGGGAGATTGGTTAGGATTGAGGGAAAGCTGAATGGTAAAGTACAGGGATATCTTCAATGAAAACCTGTTCCACTGCACTCAGGACCTCAGTCTGAGCTGAAGGTTCACTTTTCAACCAGACAATGCAAGAGTGGCTTAGGGACACTTCTGTGAATTTCCTAGGGTGACCCAGCCAGAGTCCTGACTTGAACCCTATTGAACATCTCTGGAGGGACCTGAAAATGGCTGTCTACTGAGTCACCATCCAATCTGAGTGAGCTTGAGAGGATCTGCAAGGAAGAATGGTAAAAAAAACAACCCAGGCGTGCAAAGCTTGTCACGTTATTCCGAAAAAGACCAGAGTCTGTAATTGCTGCCAAAGATGCTTCAACAAAGTACCGAGTGAAGGATTGAATACTTCTGCCAATATTTCAGTATTTTTTCTTTTTAATAAATTTACAGACATTTCTAAAAGTGTGTTTTCACTTTGTCATTATGGAATACTGAGTATAGATTAATGAGAACAAAATGATTTTCAACAACTATACAATCAGGCTGCAGCATAATAAAATTGACAAAAGTGAAGGGAGTCTGAATATTTTCTGAATGCACTGTACCTATTTCTTTTATTTTTAACATTTATGTGTCTACTGCATTTGTTCGCATCACAACTACCTTGGTTTCTGATACATTAATTTCTGATCTATACCCCTTGTTGCACCATACAGTTATTTAATGATTGCTGCAAATAATTCTGTCCTTATTTGGCAACAACATTATCTGCATAGAAAAGAACATGCATGTTAATTTCCTTAAGAATACATCTCTAATGTCATCTCAAACATTCTTAACATTAATGTTTGATAAGGTTTTATTTCAATTGCTTCTAAGCATTTTATTTGCAGGGCAAAAAATCAATAAGCCAGAAATCTAAAACCCATTATTTGTGAGAATGACCAGGTTGAACATTCAAACTCATCTAGAAGTGAAGCTGGAAATATATGTTCCATGCCATATCAGTTCCTTAGATCAGTTTTCCATTATATTGCTATACAGGTAGTCCTCAATTTATGACCATAATTAAGCCCAAATTTTTGTTGCTAAGCAAAACATTTGTAAGTAAATTTTGCCCCATTTTACAATCTTTCTTGGCACACAAGTCAATTACTACAGTTGTTAAATTAGTAACATGGTTGTTAAGTGAATCTGGCTTCCCCAATTGACTTTTCTTGTCATAAAGTTGCATAAGGTGATCAAATGAGCCAGGGACACTGCAACTATCATAACTATGAATCAGTTTCCAAGCAACTGAATTTTGATCATGTGATCATGGGAATGCTGCAGTGGTCTTAAGTGTGAAAAATGGTCATGTTGTTTTTTTCAGTGCTGTTGTAGTTTCAAACGGTCACTAAATGAACTGCTCTACGTCAAGGACTACCAGTATTTCAGGCATATAATTATTAATGGAATAAAATTAAAAAGTGATCACTTTAAACACTTATGCTAAGTGTTTATCTTTTATTTACCTTCCTATGTCTGTCTGTATCCCGAGATTTCTCCCTTAACCAATCAATGGTATGAAAATCTTCATAAGTGCCAACATCAGGAAAAGGTTCGTCTAAAAAATCCATCAGATTTCCAGAACCATTCATGCTTCCTGCATTAACCATATTAGAACCTGTATAATGAAAGACAAAGGAGCAGGTTATGTATTCAGTATTCAGACATTAGCATTTCTTTTACATCATGCTTACACCCTCATACTCATCAAGCCCTTTCCTGCAAAGAAGAAATTACTTGCAATACTATAAAGTAGGGGTCCCCACCCCCCAATCCGTGGACCAGCACCAGGCTGTGGCACTCCAGCAACTGAGCTGCACAAACAAGTAAAGCCCCATCTGCAGGACACAAGCAGCACGCAAAACCACGTCCCCTCTGGTCAGCGGAAAAAGCTTTCTGAAGGTTTTTCTCAATCTTCTGGTGCCCAAAAGATTGGGGGAAGGGAGCACTGCTATAAAACATGCCTCACATACAGCTTTAGTGACTCAATAAGAACTTGAAAGATGAGGCCAAGAATTTTCCAATAGCCAATTATCTTAAAAAACAATGTCCAGACTAATCCTTGGTAAACTACTAAGAATTTTTGACATATTTAATAAGAGATTGAAGAGATAATCACGTGCCCTGACCAATGCCATTAAAAAGATGTCTATGGAGATTCTCAGTCACAATTGTTCCAAAGGTACTTTTCCTAAAAGGCAACTAGCATGCTATTTACCTAGCTAATTGCTGAACCTTTCTTACAATTATGGAAATTTTCCATTCTTCTTCAATTTTGTTTAAATTACAATAGATAAATTAAAATCAAATAGAAAACCTACGGGAAAATTCAGAAAACTCACTAAATGGTATGAGGTACAACAAATCAGAGTGCAGGGTTTTTTTCAGTATAAAGATAATGCTACTTTTATTATTCCTGCTGTTTTAATGTTCATTTAATGCCTCTGTAAACTTAGTAAAGCATAGTTACTCCTGAGGGGTTACATCAGATTAATGATTGTGTACTAATTGTGTAATTTTACAGACTGAGTTATTGTGGAATTCCTTAATTTTTTTCTTAAGCAATATATTAAATATGTTTTGGGTGCAAGCTTAAAAATAAACAAAACTTTTGTTAAATAACCCAAATTATCTTCTTTGCCATGTAGTCTACAGCATATGCAAAACAACAATCTTCCCTATCTGGAGAGGTGAATGAAAATTGTAACTACATAAGGTAATATTGTGATTGAGAGCAATCCTAGGCTTACATAGGACAATGCAATCTTTGTTATAAAAAGGAATTTGGTGGAGGGGAGGGACAGGTGGTCTGCTTCAGCTATTAGACAATGCAACATTTTGGTAATAAAAATGAAAATTATTTTTTAAATCTGTGGTTTAAGATTTTTAAATAATTTGTTTGAATTTTATGCTGCTTGACATAAACCATAGAGGTTTTTGGAAGAGGAAATAAAGCATAGTCATTTTTTGCCCTGTAGTAGAAAAATTCAGTGCTGAACATTCTGTTTCAACAAAATTATTACAGAACTGCCTTCCTGAACCACAACGTAATATTTTCTCTTTATGCAGACAAATTTCATCATTGCCTTTTGAATGGTACAAAAATTGAGAACTCTTACTATTTTCTTGCAGTTATTCTTTATTCGATCCATTCTACCAAATACTAGGTTACGTATTATCCCATTCTTCAACACATTGTAAAAATATTCCTAAATATCTTAATAAGTATCTCCTTTCATATAAACTGGTCGTAGAACGCACTTGTTCCCTACTACAAGGAAAAAAATAACAAAATGGGCAATTTAACACTCCCTTCGGTAAGCCATTTAACTGAAGATTCCCCCCCCCCCCCAGTAAGCTCCCCAAGCACAAATGAAACAGAATTTCCACATGAATTATGTCAGAAATTTAGAGTACTATTCCCTTTAAAACAAATATTCTCCGATAGCCTGGTATATTGCAAAGAATCAGTTCACATATCTGAACACAATTGTTTCATTCCAGCCGTTTGGACAGAATAAAAATACAGCTTCCTGCATATTAAAAAGGTCACATAATAGGCACAGATAATTGTTTGTCTTTGTCAGCTTTAAGACCCCATTTGACAGTATCATTTGTAAACTTCTCATCTGAATGTCTGGAGACCCATCAAACAGCCTTTGCGCCTGCTGGCTTCAGATTCATAGAGGCCTATTATAATCAGGATTTATTTTTAAAGCCCTCCTTTGACAATGGCTGATTTCAGAACAATGCCCATGAAAAGCTTAAAAAATAATGGAACAGAGCATAGTCTTTTTCTCTTACCCGCAATGCAACATAATTTAATTCTGCTCTAAGGATCCTGACAGCATCCTTTCTTCGCTGGTATGTCTGCAAAGGCAATGATGTCATGTAGAGGAAGCAGCTAGTCACATGACCACATGCCACATTAGAGAACTGCTAGAGAGGCAGGCAGACAGGCAAGAACTGAGCTCCTTCAGGACTAAGCAAATGCTCTTACATCTTCAGAGCTGGCTGCAAAGAAAGGGAAGGAAGTAAGGGAGGGAGGGAGGGAGGGAGGGAGGGAGGAAGGAAGGAAGGAAGGAAGGGCTTTCAATTAAAAAACATTCCTATCCAGAACAATTAAATTTTTATTGCTTAAAATAATAGAACAGTGGCTATGAAACTAAGAGATACTGTGAGAGGATTGATTCATGACCCTCCAGGAACAAATGCAAAAAAGAGAAACAAAGGCTATTTGTATTTTCCTGAGATTTTATAGAACCACAAAATCATAGGGCTTGAAGGAACCCTGGCGGTTTTCTGGTCTAACCTCCTGCCCAAGGCAAGAGTCCTTACACCAAATGGTTGTCCAATCTTTTCTTGAAAATCTCCATCAATGGAGAACCCATAACTCTGAAAGACAAACTGTTCCATTGATTAACTGTTCTCACTGTCAGGAAATTTGTCCTTATTTCCATGTTGGATCTCCCTCTTGTGAGCTTCCACCCATTGCTTCTTGTCATGCCCTCAGATATTATGGAGAATAAATTGACCCATCCTTCCCTGTGACAGCCTTCAAGTACTAGACAACTGCTATTACTTCTCCCCTAAGACATTTTTTCATTAGGCTAAATGTACCAGTTATTGTAGCCATTCAGCTCACAATTTGGCCTCCAGAGCCCTTTTCATCTTGGTTGCTCTTCTCTGTACTCTTTCTAGGGCCTCAGCATCTTTTTGGTGTCATGGTGACCAGAACTAGACACAGTATTTCAAGGTGGCCTCACTAATTCAGTATGGAGTAGTGCTATCGCTTCCTGTGACTTAGATGCTATCCCTCTGTTGATGCAGCTTAGGGCTGTGTTGGCTTTTTTGGTGACTGCAGCATATTGCTCATGTTTAAGTGACAGTTCACCAGGACATCTAGACCCCTCACAGACATTACATTGAGCCAGGTACTACCTATCCTGTATTTGTTCATTTGGTTTTTCCTGTCTAATTACAGGATCTTATTTTTTTTCACCACTGAACAGCCTTTAACTGTTGGATAGAGCCCAGTGCTCTTCTGTCGACTCAAAATCCTTTTGAATCTTGAGTTTATCTTTCAAAATGTTGGCAATTCCCTCCAGCTTGGTGCCATCCACAAATTTGAGGAGCATCCGTTCAATCCCCTCATAGGACATCTATGAAGACTTTGAAGAGCACTGGGCCAAGACAGAACTTTGAGGTACTCCATTGCATACTTCCTCCCTACAGGTAGATGTAGTTGAGGTCCATTGAGGACTACACACTCAATGTGTAGTGTAGTTGGTCAGGTAAATCCATTTGGTGCCGATACTGTCTATCCCACAATGTTCTATCTTCCCAAGAAGTAGGCTGTGGTCTTCTTTATCTTACTGAAGTGTAAGTATACTATTTCCTCAGTATTTCCTTGGTCCATTAACAAACTTAAGCTGGCTTCTAGAGATCACCTTGTTCATATCTAAGTGCTGACAAATCTGCTGCTTGATTAGCTTTTGCAGGATTTTTCTAGTTATTGATGTTTTATATTTAAGAAGATGGTTGTAATACCTTAACAACTGGCTTACATAATTTTTTTCCTGGACTACTAAAACAACAACCACATGGGCTATTATGTATTTGGAAATGGCAAAATTTTCACCACTGGGACTGCACATACACGTGCAAAATGTGCAGAACATTTGCAACAGCAGCCTTAGGAATGAAGGCAAATGTTGCAGGATCCAATCTGAGTCACTCATCGGGACCAAAAATTTATTCTTCCCAAGTTTTCAGGCTCGTGCTGGAGCCCATCCATGGAGAAAGAAAAATTCTCTGAGAATGAGCTCTAGCACGAGTCTGAAAGCTTGGAAGAATAAATCTTCCATTCTTTGTGACCAACTGAGATTGGATCCTGCAATAGCAGCTTTAGTTTATGAGGTCCATGGAAAACTGATGTGGTATTTGATATTTTCCCCCCTAGGATATTGTAACCAGTGAAATAACCATAAAAGTACTTACCATAATTTATAAATGAAAGCAAACAGCAAAAGTTAAATTATGTTCTTCATCAAATAACTTTATGATAAATACTTCATATTTGTGTAAGTTTGGAAGGATTCTCAAGTGGACAACCTATTCCTACAGCCACCATCAGATGTTTAGCCTAGACATCTGCAGATATTTTGAGCAATTATTTTTACCACAACCAAGCTGAAATATGTAAATGTAGGTAAGCAAAAGCATGACTCAGGGTATAAAAGGAGAACATTGGATGCACCTCTCAAGTGCCAAATTAGTCAAAGTGTAGCTCAGCATTGCTCAGGACCAAGTTTCATGTATTAGTGAGAATTGTCCCTTTGTTTTCTTTATATTTTTATCTTGTATTTCAGGAACTGGCAACCTAATATCCTAAGCATAAGATTAGGCTCACAGTCATTGTACTACAAACTTCTGGAGAGCACGATTTGATTATCTCTGCATAGAAAGCAAATATAGATGTCCAAAAGTTGTTAACCAAGTTATTTTTTCTACATGGAGTGCCAAGAGGCTTTTTCAACACCTAGGGGTGAGGAGCACCACTACCTGCATTCCTGAAGCACCAGCAATCATATCCAACCACACATTTGCA